GGTATCCCATGAATCGGGATATGCACTTTGATTGTACGCATGATGCATTGTACTATGCTATTTTTCTGGATATATATAATTTACATTTTATCCAAAAAAAAATAGAACTCGGTAAGATCCTTCCAACGAGATATTAAACGCTTTCAACGGCACAAAATAGAGCAAGATGTGATCGCCTCAAATTCTACACGAGTTCGGAGTGAAATAAGAAACATTTGTGAACATATGGTTAATCTGTAACTTTTAATTAATGCATTGTAAATGAAGTCCGAACAGTAGATTTAGAGATCCGATCTATCTTTCCAACGAGATATAATACGCTCTAAACGGATAAACACTCGGCAAGATATGAGTTTCAAAAATACTTAGCCTTATCTCTATGATTTAGCGTTTTCAGCGAAAATAGAGCACTTTTAGCGTAAATACAGTTTTTTTTTGTTTTTTTTAAAGAACGATATTACTCATAAAAATAAAAGGTTCAGTTGAAAAAGAGAAATAAAATGAAAGATACAGAGAGTAAAAGAGAATATTAAAAACTAAAACTAGATCCAACTTAAGGTTTATAGGATACCTTAGCCTAAATACAGTGTATTTTAGTAATTAGGCAATCATCCCTTAATATTTTGAAACCAGCGCCTGAAGACAAGTATTAGAACTCGGTAAGATCTTTCCAACGAGATATTAAACGCTTTCAACGGCACAAAATAGATAAAGGTATGATCGCATCAAATGCTACACGAGTTCAGAGTGAAATCAGAAACATTTGTGAATATATGGTTAATCTGTAACTTTTAATTAATGCATTGTAAATGTAGTTGGAACAATAGCTTTAGATCTCCAATCTATCTTTCCAATGAGATATAATACGCTCCATACGGATAAACACACAGAAAGATATAAGTGTCACAAATACTTAGCCTTATCTCAATGATTTAGCGTTTTCAACGAAAATAGAGCACTTTTAGCGTAAATACAGTGTATTTTAGTAATTAGGCAATCATCCCTTGATATTTTGAAACCAGCGCCTGAAGACAAGTTGTAGAACTCGGTAAGATCTTTCCAACGAAATATTAAACTCTTTCAACGCCACTAAATAGAGCATGATATGATCGCATCAAATTCTACACGAGTTCGGAGTGAAATCAGAAACATTTGTTAATTTATGGTTAATCTTTAACTTTTAAATAATGGATTGTAAATGAAGTTGAAACAATAGCTTTAGAGCTCCGATCTATCTTTCCAACGAGATATATTACGCTCCAAACGGATAAACACACAGCAAGATATGAGTGTCACAAATACTTAGCCTTATCTCTATGATTTAGCGTTTTCAGCGAAAATAGAGCACTTTTAGCCTAAATACAGTGTATTTTATTAATTAGGTAATCATCCCTTGATGTTTTGAAACCAGCGCCTGAAGACAAGTTTTAGAACTCGGTAATATCTTTCCAACGAGATATCAAACGCTTTCAACGGCACAAAATAGAGCAAGATATGATCGCATCAAATTCTACACGAGTTCGGAGTGAAATCAAAAACATTTGTGAATATATGGTTAATCTGTAACTTTTAATTAATGCATTGTAAATGAAGATGGAACAATAGCTTTAGAGATCCGATCTATCTTTCCAACGAGATATAATACGCTCCAAACGGATAAACACACAGCAAGATATGAGTGTCACAAATACTTAGCCTTATCTCTATGATTTAGCGTTTTCAGCGAAAATAGGGCACTTTTAGCGTAAATACAGTGTATTTTAGTACTTAGGCAATCATCCCTTTATACTTTGAAACGCGCGCTTGCATACAAGTTTTAGAACTCGGTAAGATCTTTCCAACGAGATATTAAACGTTTTCAACGACACAAAATAGAGCAAGATATGATCGCATCAGATTCTACACGAGTTCAGAGTGAAATCAGAAACATATGTGAATATATGGTTAATCTGTAACTTTTAATTAATGCATTGTAAATGAAGTGTGAACAATAGATTTAGAGATCCGATCTATCTTTCCAACGAGATATAATACGCTCTAAACGGATAAACACTCGGCAAGATATGAGTTTCACAAATACTGAGCCTTATCTCTATGATTTAGCATTTTCAGCGAAAATAGAGCACTTTCAGCGTAAATACAGTGTTTTTTTGGATTTTTTTTAAAGAACGATTTTATTCTTAAAAATAAAAGGTGCAGTGTAGGAAGAGAAATCAAATGAAAGATACAGAGAGTAAAAAAGAACATAAAAAACTAAAACTAGATCCAACTTAAGTTTTATAGGAAACCTTAGCGTAAATACAGTGTATTTTAGTAATTAGGCAATCATCCCTTAATAATTTGAAACCAGCGCCTGAAGACAAGTTTTAGAACTCGGTAAGATTATTATTATTATTATTATTATTATTATTATTATTATTATTATTATTATTATTATTATTATTATTATTATTATTATTATTATTATTATTATTATTATTATTATTATTATTATTATTATTATTATTATTATTATTATTATTATTATTAGCTCCGATCTATCTTTCCAACGAGAAATAATACGCTCCAAACGGTTAAACACACAGCAAGATATGAGTGTCACAAATACTTAGCCTTATCTCTATGATTTAGCGTTTTCAGCGAAAATAGAGCACTTTTAGCGTAAATACAGTTTATTTTAGTAATCAGGCAGTCATCCCTTGATATTTTGAAACCAGCGCCTGAAGACAAGTTTTAGAAATCGGTAAGATCTTTCCAACGAGATATTAAACGCTTTCAACGGCACAAAATAGAGCAAGATATGATCGCATCAAAGTCTACACGAGTTCGGAGTGAAATCAGAAACATTTGTGATTATATGGTTAATCTGTAACTTTGCATTGTAAATGAAGTTGGAACAATAGCTTTAGATCTCCGATCTATCTTTCCAACGAGATATAATACGCTCCAAACGGATTAATACACAGCAAGATATGAGTGTCACAAATAATTAGCCTTATCTCAATGATTTAGCGTTTTCAGCGAAAATAGAGGACTTTCAGCGTAAATACAGTGTATTTTAGTAATTTGGCAATCATCCCCTGATAGTTTGAAACCAGCGCCTGAAGACAAGTTTTAGAACTCGGTAAGATGTTTACAAAGAGATGTTAAACGCTTTCTACACGAGTTCGGAGTGAAATCAGAAACATTTGTGAATATATGGTTAATCCGTAACTTTTAATTAATTCATTGTAAATGAAGTTGGAACAATATCTTTAGAGCTCCGATCTATCTTTCCAACGAGATACAATACGCTCGAAACGGATAAACACACAGCAAGATATGAGTGTCACAAGTACTTAGCCTTATCACTGTGATTTAGCGTTTTCAGCGAAAATAGAGCACTTTTAGCGTAAATACAGTGTATTTTAGTAATTAGGTAATTATCCCTTGATATTTTGAAACCGGAGCCTGAAGACAAACTTTAGAACTCGTAAAGATCTTTCCAACGAGATATTAAATGCTTTCAACGGCACAAAATAGAGCAAGATATGATCGCATCAAATTCTACACGAGTTCGGAGTGAAATCAGAAACATTTGTGAATATATGGTTAATCCGTAACTTTTAATTAATTAATTGTAAATGAAGTTGGAACAATATCTTTAGAGCTCCGATCTATCTATCCAAAGAGATATAATACGCTCCAAACAGATAAACACACAGCAAGATATGAGTGTCACAAATACTTAGCCTATCTCTATGATTTATCGTTTTCAGCGAAAATAGAGCACTTTTAGCGTAAATACAGTGTATTTTAGTAATTTGGAAATCATCCCCTGATAGTTTGAAACCAGCGCCTGAAGACAAGTTTTAAAACTCGGTAAGATGTTTCCAACGAGATGTTAAACGCTTTCAACGGCACAAAATAGAGGAAAATATGATCGCATCAAATTCTACACGAGTTCGGAGTGAAATCAGAAACATGTGTGAATATATGGTTAATATGTAACTTTTAATTAATGCATTGTATGTTAAGTTGGAACATTAGCTTTAGAGCTCCGATCTATCTTTCCAACGAGATATAATACGCTCCAAACGGATAAACACACAGCAAGATATGAGTGTCACAAATACTTAGCCTTATCTCTATGATTTAGCGTTTTCAGCGAAAATAGAGCACTTTTCGCGTAAATACAGTGTATTTTAGTAATTAGGCAATCATCCCTTGATATTTTGAAACCAGCGCCTGAAAACAAGTTTTATAACTCGGTAAGCGATTTCCAACGAGATATTAAACGCTTTCAACGGAACAAAATAGAGCAAGATATGATCGCATCAAAATCTACCCGAGTTTTGAGTGAAATCAGAAACATTTGTGAATATATGGTTAATCTGTAACTTTTAATTAATGCATTATAAATTAAGTTGGAACAATAGCTTTAGAGCTCCGATCTATCTTTCCAACGAGATACAATACGCTCGAAACGGATAAACACACAGCAAGATATGAGTGTCACAAGTACTTAGCCTTATCTCTATGATTTAGCGTTTTCAGCGAAAATTGAGCACTTTTAGCGTAAATACAGTGTATTTTAGTAATTAGGTAATCATCCCTTGATATTTTGAAACCGGAGCCTGAAGCCAAATTTTAGAACTCGTAAAGATCTTTCCAACGAGATATTAAACGCTTTCAACGGCACAAAATAGAGCAAGATATGATGGCATCAAATTCGACACGAGTTCGGAGTGAAATCAGAAACATTTGTGAATATATGGTTAATCTGTAACTTTTAATTAATGCATTGTAAATGAAGTCGGAACAATAGCTTTAGAGCTCCGATCTATCTTTCCAACGATATGTAATACGGTCCAAACGGTGAAACACACAACAAGATATGAGTGTCACAAATACTTAGCCTTATCTCTATGATTTAGCGTATTCAGCGAAAATAGAGCACTTTGAACGTAAATACAGTGTATTTTAGTAATTAGGCAATCATCCCAGTTCGTTTATGAAACCAGAGCCTCAGGGGGACATTCGCGTCCCAGTTCGTTTTTCATCCGTACAGGTCATGGCTTCCCGATTCCTTTGATTCTATGAATTTGGAAGGTTGATTCTTTGTTGGTCTTGGTCGGAATCTGTTGCTCGACGGGCCAAAAAACCCAGAAATCGATTTGTCTTTGCGTAGATTACTGTTCACCAGTTTTTTGAGAAAACATTGCAGTTCGATGTTTTGATTTCCACTGAAATCTGGGACTGTTGTGATACTCCTCATCTCTGGACGACCAAGGAAACCTGAATTTCGTCTGTCTGTAAATACGAATTTAGGTCTGAAACGCGTTCTGTGGTGTGCGATGCGGAAAAACAAACGAGAAATTGGGGAAAATTCCAGGACGCGAACTACTCGGTCATCCTCTAGGTTTGATGTTTTAGGAGATATTGATGTCGAAATCCCGGTCTTTAGCGCGATAAAACCTTCTGCGAACATGGATAGTCCTGGTACAGGGACTATGGTGACAAAACCTTCTGTGCACGTGGAACCCTCTGCTGCGGAACGTACTGCTGCAGGGGCCTCCATTACTCTACAGATTGATTCTTCTGGGACGTTATTGAAACCTGCGCAGACAACCCTGTTGCAGGCTGGGAAAAATAGGTTGAGTGCCCCTTCCTGTGAACCCGCTGAAGGTACTGATGCTAGGCAACCTTCACCATCCAGATTAGCAGCTTTAGAGAATGAAAACTTCCCAGATTTGCAGACTGCACTGGGAGGGAAACCTACTACTGCTAAGGAAAAAAATTCTGGGCTTGTCTTTGCCCAGACTTTTGTGAAACAACCGCAGCAGGGTAATGCCAATGCTACTGCCAGTAACACTGGTAAAGCTAAGCAACCAGTAAGTGCAAGAGCTGTGCAGTTGGTGCCTATTTCCACCGTGACTGCAGATGCTGAAAAAAAGGGACAGACTGCTCCACAGAAGGTGCCTAATGCTATTACTGATACTTCCATAGACACTGCCAGTTTGGAAATACCACCAAAGGAGAAAGCATGGTCATCCCTTTTCAAGGATAACCGAGACCCTTCAAACGGCCTAAAATTGAGGTATATTCCGCCGAAAGGCAAATCCTTAGACTTTGGTGATAGAATATTGCCCTCTATGATTGAGATGTGGGGATTTTGTCTTGTTGGTTATATTACCGGAAAATTTCCCGGACTTAAGGCCATTTATGACTTGAAGAATACCTGGGGGGTTAGTTGCCAGATCAAAACACATGCTAAGGGATGGATTATTTTCAAATTCCAAAATGATGGGGATAGAGAAAAAGTGTTGAATGGGGGTCCCTATACCATTTTTGGAATGCAACTATTGCTAAAATCACTTTCAGAGGACTTCTCTTTCGATGATGATGAATTTCTTAAAGTCCCCATTTGGGTTAAATTTCCCAACCTACATATGAAACTATGGAATGAAGAGGCTATGAGCGAGGTTGCATCTATGGTAGGGGTCCCGCTTTCTACGGACAAGGTCACTCAAAATAGGAGCAATCATCATTTTGCTAGAGTTCTAATTGAAGTGGATGTGTCTAAACCGCCCCGGTTATCTTTTCATATACGATTACCTTCTCGTAAAGTAGTCAATCAAATGGTGGTTTATGAAACCTTCCCCAATTTCTGTTTCCATTGTAAAATGTATGGGCACCACCCTTTCATTTGCAAAAAATTGGCTTCAAAAGAACGGGACTTGGCTATTGTTGATAAGAAGGAGGATACTGTGAATGAGGGTTCTCAAGTGGAAATTGTGGACATTGCTGTACCTGCTGCCCAGCCAGATGCCCAGGAGCCTCCAGTTGTTGCTGCCCACCCGACCGGGTGCTGCTCTGACCCGACCGGGTCTACTGGACAGACACTGTCCCAGGGGTCTGCCAACGCTAATTTGGATGCTAGTTTGCACACTGACCAAGGGATTGCAGAGACTGAGACTGCTGCCCAGGGGACTAAAACGACTGTCGTGCCTGAATCAGAGGAGGATGATGACACAGAAGATGAGGAATCCGATAATGAGCCGAAAGATGAGGAGGAACAGAGAATTCTTGACGAATACTGGGACAAAATTACACAATATAAGAAGATGAAGAAAAGGATGATAGCTGAGCCCGCTCAAATAGGTTTAGGCTAATTTGATTCTGTTTCACTGGCAGATATTTGGTTGTTTGTTTTTGATTCCTCTGTTTAGGTGGATGTGGGAATGCCCATTATGGTGTTGATACTTTATATTTAGGTTAGATCCATCTAACTTAGATAGTCTTCGCAGATTTTGTGTGATACATTGTAAAATGTTATTTTTGGGTGTCTTTTATATATACTTACATTTCATCCAAAAAAAAAATGAAACCAGAGCCTGAAGACAAGTCTTAGAACTCGGTAAGATCTTTCCAACGAGATATTAAACGCTTTGAACGGCATAAAATAGAGTATGATATGATCGCATCACATTCTACACGAGTTCGGAGTGAAATCAGAAACATTTGTGAATATATGGTTAATCTGTAACTTTTAATTTATGCATTGTAAATGAAGTTGGAACAATAGATTTAGATCTCCGATCTATATTTCCAACGAGATATAATACGCTCCAAACGGATAAACACACAGCAAGATATGAGTGTCACAAATACTTAGCCTTATCTCTATGATTTAGCGTTATAAGCGAAAATAGAGCACCTTTAGCCCAAATACAGTGTATTTTAGTAATTAGGCAATCATTCCTTGATATTCTGAAACCAGAGCCTGAAGACAAGTTTTAGAACTCGGTAAGATCTTTCCAACGAGATATTAAACGCTTTCAACGGCACAAAATAGAGCAAGATATGATCGCATCAAATTCTACACGAGTTCGGAGTGAAATCAGAAACATTTGTGAATATATGGTTATTCCGTAACTTTTAATTAATGCATTGTAAATGAAGTTGGAACAATATCTTTAGAGCTCCGATCTATCTATCCAAAGAAATATAATACGCTCCAAACGGATAAACACACAGCAAGATATGAGTGTCACAAATACTTAGCCTATCTCTATGATTTATCGTTTTCAGCGAAAATAGAGCACTTTTAGCGTAAATGCAGTGTATTTTAGTAATTAGGCAATCATCCCTTGATATTTTGAAACCGGAGCCTGAAGACAAATTTTAGAACTCGTAAAGAACTTTCCAACGAGATATTTCCGCTTTCAACAGCACAAAATAGAGCAAGATATGATCGCATCAAATTCTACAGGAGTTCGAAGTGAAATCAGAAACATTTGTTAATATATGGTTAATCTGTAACTTTGAATTAATGCATTGTAAATGAAGTTGGAACAATAGCTTTAGAGCTCCGATCTATCTTTCCAACGATATGTAATACGGTCCAAACGGATAAACACACAGCAAGATATGAGTGTCACAAATACTTAGCCTTATCTCTATGATTCAGCGTTTTCAGCGAAAATAGAGCACTTTTAGCGTAAATACAGTGTATTTTAGTAATAAGGCAATCATCCCTTGATATTCTGAAACCAGAGCCTGAAGTCAAGTTTTAGAACTCGGTAAGATCTTTCCAACGAGTTATTAAACGCTTTCAACGGCTCAAAACAGAGCATGATATGATCGCATCACATTCTACACGAGTTCGGAGTGAAATCAGAAACATTTGTGAATATATGGTTAATCTGTAACTTTTAATTAATGCATTGTAAATGAAGTTGGAACAATAGCTTTAGATCTCCGATCTATCTTTCCAACGAGATATAATACGATCCAAGCGGATAAACACACAGCAAGATATGAGTGTCACAAATACTTAGCCTTATCTCTATGATTTAGCGTTTTCAGAAATAATAGAGCACTTTTAGCGTAAATACAGTGTATTTTAGTAATTAGGCAATCATCCCTTGATATTTTGAAACCAGCGCCTGAAGACAAGTTTGAGAACTCGGTAAGGTCCTTCAAACGAGATATTAAACGCTTTCAACGGCACAAAATAGAGCAAGATATGATCGCATCAAACTCTACACGAGTTCGGAGTGAAATCAGAAACATTTGTGAATATATGGTTAATCCGTAACTTTTAATTAATGCATTGTAAATGAAGTTGGAACAATATCTTTAGAGCTCTGATCTATCTATCCAAAGAGATATAATACGCTCCAAACGGATAAACACACACCAAGATATGAGTGTCACAAATACTTAGCCTATCTCTATGATTTATCGTTTTCAGCGAAAATAGAGCACTTTTAGCGTAAATGCAGTGTATTTTAGTAATTAGGCAATCATCCCTTGATATTTTGAAACCAGAGCCTGAAGACAAATTTTAGAACTCGTAAAGAACTTTCCAACGAGATAGTTCCGCTTTCAACGGCACAAAATAGAGCAAGATATGATCGCATCAAATTCTACAGGAGTTCGAAGTGAAATCAGAAACATTTGTTAATATATGGTTAATCTGTAACTTTGAATTAATGCATTGTAAATGAAGTTGGAACAATAGCTTTAGAGCTCCGATCTATCTTTCCAACGATAGGTAATACGGTCCAAACGGATAAACACACAGCAAGATATGAGTGTCACAAATACTTAGCCTTATCTCTATGATTCAGCGTTTTCAGCGAAAATAGAGCACTTTTAGCGTAAATACAGTGTATTTTAGTAATTAGGCAATCATCCCTTGATATTCTGAAACCAGAGCCTGAAGTCAAGTTTTAGAACTCGGTAAGATCTTTCCAACGAGTTATTAAACGCTTTCAACGGCACAAAATAGAGCAAGATATGATCGCATCATATTCTACACCAGTTCGGAATGAAATCAGAAACATTTGTGAATATATGGTTAATCTGTAACTTTTAATTAATGTATTGTAAATGAAGTTGGAACAATAGCTTTAGATCTCCGATCTATCTTTCCAACGAGATATAATACGATCCAAGCGGATAAACACACAGCAAGATATGAGTGTCACAAATACTTAGCCTTATCTCTATGATTTAGCGTTTTCAGCAAAAATAGAGCACTTTTAGCGTAAATACAGTGTATTTTAGTAATTAGGCAATCATCCCTTGATATTTTGAAACCAGCGCCTGAAGACAAGTTTGAGAACTCGGTAAGGTCCTTCAAACGAGGTATTAAACGCTTTCAACGGCACAAAATAGAGCAAGATATGATCGCATCAAACTCTAGACGAGTTCGGAGTGAAATCAGAAACATTTGTGAATATATGGTTAATCTGTACCTTTTAATTAATGCAAAGTAAATGAAGTTGGAACAATAATTTTATAGCTCCGATCAATCTTTCCAACGAGATATAATACGATCCAAACGGATAAACACAGAGCAAGATATGAGTGTCACAAATACTTAGCCTTATCTCTATGATTTAGCGTATTCAGCGAAAATAGAGCACTTTGAGCGTAAATACAGTGTATTTTAGTAATTAGGCAATCATCGCTTGATAATATGAAACAAGAGCCTGAAGACAAGTTTTAGAACTCGGTAAGAGCTTTCCAACGAGTTATTAAACGCTTTGAACGGCACAAAATAGAGCATGATATGATCGCATCACATTCTACACGAGTTCGGAGTGAAATCAGAAACATTTGTGAATATATGGTTAATCTGTAACTTTTAATTAATGCATTGTAAATGAAGTTGGAACAATAGATTTAGATCTCCGATCTATCTTTCCAACGAGATATAATACGCTCCAAACGGATAAACACACAGCAAGATATGAGTGTCACAAATACATAGCCTTATGTCTATGATTTAGCGTTTTAAGCGAAAATAGAGCACTTTTAGCGTAAATACAGTGTATTTTAGTAATTAGGCAATCATTCCTTGATATTCTGAAACCAGAGCCTGAAGAAAAGTTTTAGAACTCGGTAAGATCTTTCCAACGAGATATTAAACGCTTTGAACGGCACAAAATAGAGCATGATATGATCGCATCACATTCTACACGAGTTCAGAGTGAAATCAGAAATATTTGTGAATATATGGTTAATCTGTAACTTTTAATTAATGCATTGTAAATGAAGTTGGAACAATAGCTTTAGATCTCCGATCTATCTTTCCAACGATATGTAATACGGTCCAAACGGATAAACACACAGCAAGATATGAGTGTCACAAATACTTAGCCTTATCTCTTTGATTTAGCGTTTTCAGCGAAAATAGAGCTCTTTTAGCATAAATACAGTGTATTTCAGTAATTAGGAAATCATTCCTTGATACTTTGAAACCCTGGCCTGAAGACAAGTTTTAGAACTCGGTATGATCCTTCCAACGAGATATTAAACGCTTTCAACGGCACAAAATAGAGCAAGATGTGATCGCCTCAAATTCTACATGAGTTCGGAGTGAAATCATAAACATTTGTGAATATATGGTTAATCTGTAACTTTTTATTAATGCATTGTAAATGAAGTTGGAACAATAGCTTTAGATCTCCGATCTATCTTTCCAACGAGATATAATACGCTCCAAATGGATAAACACACAGCAAGATATGAGTGTCACAAATACTTTGCCTTATCTCTATGATTTAGCGTTTTCAGCGAAAATAGAGCACTTTTAGCGTAAATACAGTGTATTTTAGTAATTAGGCAATCATCCCTTGATATTCTGAAACCAGAGCATGAAGACAAGTTTTAGAACTCGGTAAGATCTTTCCAACGAGATATTAAACGCTTTTAATGGCACAAAATAGAGCATGATATGATCGCATCACATTCTACACGAGTTCGGAGTGAAATCAGAAACATTTGGGAATATATGGTTAATCTGTAACTTTAAATTAATGCATTGTAAATGAAGTTGGAACAATAGCTTTAGATCTCCGATCTATCTTTCCAACGAGATATAATACGCTCCAAACGGATAAACACACAGCAAGATATGAGTGTCACAAATACTTAGTCTTATCTCTATGATTTAGCGTTTTCAGCAAAAATAGAGCACTTTTAGCGTAAATACAATGTATTTTAGTAATTAGTCAATCATCCCTTGATATTTTAAAACCAGCGCCTGACGACAAGTTTTAGAACTCGGTAAGATCTTTCCAACGAGATATTAAATGCTTTCAACGGCACAACATAGAGCAAGATATGATCGCATCAAATTCTACACGAGTTCGGGGTGAAATCAGAAACATTTGTGAATATATGGTTAATCTGTAACTTTTAGTTAATGCATTGTAAATGAAGTTGGAACAATAGCTTTAGAGCTCCGATCTATCTTTCCAACGAGATATAATACGCTCCAAACGGATAAACACACAGCAAGATATGAGTGTCACAAGTACTTATCTTTATCTCTATGATTTAGCGTTTTCAGCAAAAATAGAGCATTTTTAGCGTAAATACAATGTATTTTAGTAATTAGGCA